ATGACATTTGTAAACAAATACAGGCAATGTAAGTGCATTGTGCATAATGCGCACTGAACGCGCTGCCATCCGTCGTTTTGCCCATCGTTTGCTGTTAGTGTATCGTCAGCTCAAATAAATCGGCACGGAAACTTTTCTATATAAAGTCTACCTATTTACAATTCATTTGTTATTAAAGAATTTACACTGCAATTTACACAACACCGGTGACGACCAATTCTCGTCTCTTAAAAAACAAATATCATCGACAGCTTATTCCTAGTAACACAAAGTTATATGATACTTCTTCTGGATCCCTTTTTTTAACGATACACTGCACTTTTCCACCACTTGTGAACAACGTAATTGTATCATGCTTTTAAATAACCCTTATTTCAAGAACTACCCTTGTGCACCACTCGGTTATGAATGACAATTGTGCACCACAGATTCCGATAATTTACACTTGTGCACCACTCGGTTATGAATGACAATTGTGCACCACAGATTCCGATAATTTACACGTGTGCACCACTCGGTTATGAATGACAATTGTGCACCACAGATTCCGATAATTTACACTTGTGCACCACTCGGTTATGAATAACAATTGTGCACCACTTAATTTTAAGTATTATACTCGTGCACCTCCGATTGTAATAATTTAGATTGTACACAATTGTAGGGACTATACTTGGCCGTAGAGCTCAATGTTCTTGGTTCTGGTTTAGGCCATCTGACTGGGATTCAGGGATCCAAGTCCACCGGTCATCCAGTTCAAGGACCAGTTCCAGTTCTTGACCGTGGAAGCACCTCCTCTGGATTCCCTCCTCGGACAGCCACTCGGAAAGAAACTCTTAATGGCGAAAGCCCAGAAATACTATCTGAAGTTTCAAATACAACATGATATATCCACTGATAACACCCTGGTTGAAAATTTAGCCGAACATTGCAACAATACTATATGTGAATACATGTACAAGAATACGTCCACTCGACGGTTATACGCGCAAGACTGGGCGTCTATGCGTTTATCCGGTTCGTAAGTGCAACGTCACTTCGTTTAAACCACGCCCACTGCACATGAACTGCACATAGAGTTACATGCATTGATGGCCGTTTACATGGAATTATAGAACCGGAAGTTAACGCGCAACTTCAGCGATTGTCCAATGGGAGCCTGCAAAACGTGGCGCGTCCGCCTTTGTGACGAAGTCACTGCGGTTCGGACGATCGCAGAAGTTGTGCGTTCACTTCCGGTTCCATGGTTCCACATAAACGGCGATCAATGCATGTAACCCTATGTGCAGTGCACGTGTGCAGTGGACGTGGTTTAAACTGAAGTGATGTCATACTTACGAACCGGATATGTCCTTGATCTACCTGAGTGGACGTGCTCCGTCACCGACGCAAGAAAGACAGATATGTACGAAATTTTCCAAACCAGTTTTTTCACGCTTTTTCGGCGTACACGTGTTCCGTGTTAAACGCGCATAAACTTGAGCGCTTATGCAGTGAGTTCGCACCAAAGGTCTGTCAATTTTTTCAAAAACATGCCATCTTTTGTTCCCGCTCGGAGCGGATACAGATCAATGCTAGAATGTATGGCCTTCACGTGTTGCCATGTGCACGCGTTCGCACAGTGGCCTGTCTCTCCGTTGCCGGTGAGGGTGCATTTCACATCGGGCGGATAATTTTGTTTAAAAAAAACCTGTTGGTCAGAATACATACATTTTCCCCGTCGATTTCCTCCGAATCTTCATCGTTTATTCCATTCTTTGTATGGTGTTTTTCAATTTTACAACTAGTAACTCATGGAATAGCGTGTTCAAAATTTCTTGAAGTTATTTTCATCAATATTTGTTTTTTTGTTTATGTAGTGTCAAAAATAATCTTTCGCATGCCCTGAGTTCTTGTCCGAATATCATTAAGTGACCCAAGGCGTGCCTGACGTGAGGAAAACATATTTTTCTGGCGCAAATATTAATTTTCACGAACCGTCTGTGTAGCTGTAAGAAAATATTGACATTCAAAACTTATCGCCGGTAAGAACTTATACTGCAAGACTCCACGTGAATGGCATCTCATTGGAATCCATCGTGTACAAAATTAGACATTTTGTTTAACCTGATGACAGGGTGTAGATCGCATGCGAAGGGGAAATATTCCCAGTTCTTCAACAGGGGGTGGGCCATAGGACCCCCCCCTCATTTTTTTTCAGAAGAGAGGAAGAATTAACGAAATTTCAGGAGTCAATATAGAAAATATTTACGTCAGATCCTCGAGAGAAATGGGAGACTTTGAGGCACTGGTGGCAGCAGACATACCGGTCCTTCTTCACAATATTGCGCGTGCTCAGAACTATGCACGCCCGCTCAGAACAACACCCACAGCTCAGAATTAATTAAAAAGTCCGGTATGTTTGCGTCTCAAAGACTCTCATTGCTGGACAGACGAGGAACCTGAGTGCCGCTACGCATTGCACGTGTCAACAGTAATGATAAATGCCTCCCCCTTGTGTTAGAAAACGTCAAGCCCTGATTTTTGTCATAATGATCAGTGGGTTCTGAAAATCGAATCCACCATCATATTCGAGTGGCATATTCTGCAGGGGGAAGGATCACATGTTTCCCCTACTCTTAGAAAGTGCTTTTTTTTTAGGAAATGAAACTGCCGGGGTATTATTTTTTCGGATATAAAAATTGGACCGTGGTTTTGCCTGATATGAATCATTTAGGAAGACAGAGATTATTATGCAACCCTACTTGGTGGTGCCCATAGCGGTAATGACAAAAGCTTTACGGAGAGAGGCGTCGTCTGATGAATGCCAAATTACAATTGTTAGAGTTAAGCTAATCCTGGATTTGGAAACTCTAAATAATTGTCGTACAAATAGTTCTTTTCTGGAAAAAAGCAGGGCACCAGCTGTAATCTGTGGAATGTTGATAAGAAACAAACAGAAAAACCTCCAACACACCAACCAACAAACACCACAAACAAACAAAAACAATGCCACAAAATGGAAAATCGTATTTTAAGTGATAAAAGACGGTGATGAGTGTGTGCCCTCAAGCCACACGAGGAGGTCAAAATTATAACATGTTACAACTATATTGTTGTGATATGAATACAATTTTAGGCAACCGTGCCCATCAGAGCGGTAAATTGGAAAACATGAAACCAACACTGCATTATCTGTATGCTTTGTATACACAAGGTATATGCACACAATGTTCCATTGTGGTTAATCTCCAACAGTTGCGAGTTCAATGTAGCGTTGGTCACTGCAAGCACGTGGTGGAAAGATATAAGACTTCAGAGTTGTCGGCGCCTGCATTCGTAGTGACGTTAGAAAGTCTCACAACACCTCCCCTCCCGGTCAAGAGACTGAAAGCCGTGCCTCGGGGTTGGGAACGAAACCGGAGCTGGCAAACGGCTTGTGCTCGCGAGTCGGGCATCAGCGAGCAAAGCCGAGCAGGTGTTGTTGCACGTAGGGAGTCTTATCTTTCGCACATGGAGCACCCTTCCTGAACTGGGTTATTAGAGGCCGCTGTTAAAAACAGAATGAACATTAAGTGGGCAGAGTCTAGTTACTTGGATATTTCAAGAGATGATTATAATCGATGTGGAAAGCGGGGGTAGGGAAATGCAAGAGTGTCTTTTAACATCATCGAGTGTCGGTGATTTTTGAAGTCCGAGTGGTTAAGATTTCACTGCGCCGGTCTGTCGTGCAATGGTTAGGGTGACTGTCCAATGTTGTAGATGAGTTCGTGAGGATCGCTTATGCAGCTACGGGTTTGAGGATGTTACCTAAGGCTTGGCTACTACCCATGGCCAACCTGTTAGTGACAGTGTTGTTATCTGCCGTCGTGATATCGCGGGTGATGACATCTGGGCCACCTGCGGGCCTCAGCCAGCTCGGCGGTGAGGCAGGGGGTAAGGAGCTAGTGAGTTTGTGCGGTCTCTTCTCCATCCACTACCGCATCGCGGTGGACGACGCCAGCCTGACCAAGGGACCAATTCGTGAGCGGTGCTCCAGCTATCACATCTTGTCCTACCTACGGGCCAGGGCCATGATGTTCGCTGTAGAAGAGATCAACAACCGCTCTGTTCTCCTTCGCAATATCTCTCTGACTTACGAGATTCGTGACATATGTAATCGGAAGAGCATCGGCCTGAAAGCCTGCATGAACTGCCTCCGCCTGGTCAACACTAATGGGTCCCAGACCTACACCCCTGTTGACCTCCCTCACACGGACAATCCCTCCCTTGTCTTTATCGGACCCGACACCTCCGAGTCGGCCATCACCATGGCGGATTTCCTGCAGATCTTCGGGGTGCCCCTGATCAGCTACTCGGCCACCAGCACCCTGCTCAGCAACCGGGAGAAGTACCGGACCTTTTTCAGGACTATCCCGGACGACGGATACCAAACCGTGGTCATAGCCGACATCATCAAGCACTACAGCTGGAACTGGGTTGGAATCTTGGCGGTGGACAACAGCTACGGCCGGTCGGCCATGAGCGACTTCTTGTTCCACGCGTCCAAGCGGGGCATCTGCGTGGCCTTCCAGCTTGTGGTTGGGGAAACGATGGGATATGGGGACATGCAGAGGTTTTCACGGGAGTTGGAGAGTTTCCCAGAACTGGAAGTGATCGTTGCTTTCACTTTCACCAAAACATTAATGCCATTTCTGGAAAGGACGGAGAAGAACTCGACACCGATTAACGGTGAGTCTATCATGTCAAATTTTCATTGTCCCTGTATACAGAGTAAAAAAATAGACGGATAATCATAACATTGTTTTTAAAGCAACTGTTTTCACAAACCTACATTAGCTATGAAGTAAAGAAGTGTGTTCAGAAATATGAATTTTAAGTCAGTGGAGTTCAAACATATTTTCACCTTGATCTAGTTTATACTGCGACTGTTTCTAAGCTCATTTTTCTAAGTGCGCTCAAATCCATCTTCTATGTACTATTTTCTTTTGGCACATGTCAAACACCGAATCCCGAAATCATACATTGGCAAACGCCAAGGAGAGGTTGAAAGTTGGGCTTGCTTACATTTTCAAAATCTGAAAGAACATAGCACCCTTAGTCATCGGTGTTCATTCATCGGCACAACATGAGTTTCGGCTCCCTACCTTTTCAGTTGACAATGGGAATAGTAATGCCATTACTGTTCATCGTTATGGTGCTTACAATTTTGCGGAGTTGTGCTCAAAATATTCCCACACAAGTATTTATTTATGTTTCTTTATACGTTTTATACTCAGTTTATGTGGAAAGGGGAATTAGACTTTTCAAAACTTCGGTAATTAATGCAGAACTGTGGATACGAAGTCTTCTGGTATAATTGCACACCGTCTTCTTTCCTTTCAGCTTTGAGTACAGATGGAAAGGGCATTCTCTTTTGTCTTTATATCAATTCGTTTCAAAAACGAAAGAACGGGACAAAGTTTCACATTTTATTGTTTGTACCTTACGATTGTCGTGATGTTAGCAGAAGATTTTCCATTTTCAGGCTAGACTCAACTGACACCAGCCCCGGCCCTGAAATACATTCACTGTCGGGTAATACGGTACCCTGGAAGATTTAATGGTCATGATGACCTCTGAACAGTTAGATTTGGGCTTTTAGCTTGGAACAGCCCACGTGGGAGTGGTCTAAGTTTGCTCACAACGACTTATAGCTATCGGGCAAAAATCAAGTAGGAAAGATCAGTAATACCTTCGAAGCGTTAACTCGAAATCGTTTAGAGGAAATTGAAACCGATCACAGTATCCCTGGGCTCCCGTGGCTTGCTAAATCTCTTCGACAAACCCCACTTCCCCGCCCGGTTAGTAAATAATAGCAATTGTAGTATAGATATCCATAAAGCACATAAATCCACCAGTGCTTAATACATTACATTATTAATACACTACATTCCTTTTTGCTCGTGACAAAGTGATTGTCAGAGAGCTTGGTGGCGGCTCCAGGTTGGGGTTTGGAAAGAAAAACCACCGATTTGTTTCATATTGTAAATCATTTAAAATGGGATGCCATTGGGCTAAATACTGGCAAGTTCTAGAGCTTGCAATGAAAAAAAATTGAATGAATAAAACTTGGGCGAATTTGACAGGGGAACGTACGTGTACCCCCCTTCTTTCTTCCTGCCACTATCCAAGACGGAAAGGCATTACAAATTACCTAGTTCTCGAGGGCGGGGATGTTGGTTTGGGTGAAAATGTGTGCCATTATGGTACGCACCGGAATTTTCCAAGACCCCCAAACTTCCCGAAGGCCCTGGGCACAGTGCCTACTAAAGCCTATTTGATAATCCTGTCCCAATCATTTCAATTATTATTTCGAACATCGAATAAAAATTTATTAAAATATGTGTATAATATACACTCAAATTACTATCACAATTACAAACATAACGGACGTGCAGTTAAAAACAGGATTCCCAAACATTAAATGTGATGTAAAAAATGACTGTTTCCAAATACGGGACAAAACAAAAATGCAAGCTACAGCAGGATTGTTGTAAAGCAAGCTAAATCACTAAATCTAAAACCTCTTCTACGGCGTCACCCACATACAAAACACGCTACAAGTGAACACAGGGAAAACACAGTAATATCCAACCCCAAAACACTCATACACGACACAACCGTATCTGTTTCACATTCCTTTATCTTCCTGTTGTAAAGAAAACGGGAAACGCTTCTTTTTCTCCTACTGTTATAGCTCTTTCAAACTGGATTTTGATAACGATTTCCTGAGTCGTTCTTCTTCATTTTGCCACAACAAACCTTGACCCAAAAATTCACCTAAAACTGTTTTTAAGAGGTTGCATGTGTGCGTAGACGTGTGCGAGTCCACACAACGTCATCTATGCCTGCATTATGTGCACCTCTTTTGTAGACAGGCTTTGCTTTACCGTGGAGGACAGAACACAAAGGGTGTTTCCCTGTCCTCGACGATAAATCTATTGTCCTCGGTGGTAAATACCAGTAGTTAGTCCATAGGATAGTGTTGTATTGTGGAAGCAAAGGCAAACGCAATGTCCTCTAAAAGCAAGACTGCGTGTGGGCTCTATGTATGCCGCGCTGGCACATACGACCTCCATTATATTGCACCACGATCAGAATTCGCATACACACAAATTAGTTTTGATAAAAATAAAACGAGTGACAAAAGCATGTAGAACATACAAACCACAACAAAAATAAAATCTAAATTCACATTGACCTTGATTCCTACACGGGGCGGATGATGTTTCATGGCAAAACTGCGAACGGTTTGCAATTTCATACGATTAAACTGATCCCGATATGGATCTTTCGGCCGATGGGGTTCGATTCTTTCAGGAGCCCCCCCCCGAGCTAGTTAAGCATTGTAAGGAGAATGAAGTCGGAAGTTTCGCCCGAACAAAGTATATCAAGATCTATACAAGGTTTTCGAAGATCTGTTAGCTTTAGGCGGCTCGCACAAATCGATTTAATTCTGGATAAGATGAAGAGAAAATGCGAAGATGACAAAGATGTACCGTATGATTTACCGGAAGAACGCGGAGGCACCATACTTATATACTGTATCCTTTTTGTATATCCTTATACACATAATGCCGAGAGTTAAAATAAATAAGAGATTAATTCTCTTCTGTAAATGTCATTCGGACACAGACTAGGCTTATATTAAGCTAAAAATCGAGTTGTGCGAGCCTTTAATACTGAGACAACAATACTGTGATGCAAAATTTGTTGCCGTCCCCTTTTGATAAAGTGGATCTAATATCTAATTGTCTGGACGAGGCTCTGGTCGCGGTGTAGCAGCATTTTGTACTTAACTGCAGATTCCCAGGGATTTATCCGGTTTGATACCGGACATATCGCGTTCGTCAATTAGACTTCAGTTCTGAGAGGACGACAGCATCTCTCAGGAGACGATCTTCGTGCAGGCTTGAAACCACTCCATCACTCGGGCCTCCACTTTATGATACATATCTGCCCAGAAATTGCGGAAGATAAATGAGCTTGGACAAACCATAAACACGCGAAGAGCGGGGCTCTATGACAGAAAAGACGATCCGCATAAACAGAGTGGTATTAACGATAAACTGGTATCTCAGGACAAAGCGAGCTGACTGATGTTAGAGAATGAACTATAAAGAACTGAAGCTTGTACATTTGGCCATTTATCATTTACATGCCATTAACGACTCTTTCGTCTGTTTGTTTGTAGTGAGTTCCTCCAAAAAATTGCGTTGTCTTTAGGTTTTTTATTCACATATTTATATGCCTAAAGCTTGTGGTCGAAGAAGGAGCTTGTAATATGGCAGACCCGTACACGTTAATGACTACAAAATCAAATGAAACGAATTTGGAAAATAACAAAAGTGTGAGGTGCTAAGATGAGTTCCAACAGCTGGAAGATGATTTTGTAATAAAGATTTCCGAATCTTGCTAACAACGCACCTATTTGGTCGGGTCCCGATGTAGCTTCTGATGTTGCTAATGCTTTATGGTACTGTTGTGTTGTAGCAGTTGCTAGTGCCACTAGAATTCTTGGTACTGTTGAGGGCGCAGAAACAGCTGTCTGATTTATACTTGTCATGTTCTTTCTGGTGAGAGCACTGTTTGTGCTGCTGGCTATCGGTGCTAATTATGCTAGTAGTCTTGATGCAGTTTTCTGCTGTGATGTCCGAGTTACACCTGACATAGTTTCTTTTATGATGCCACTGAAGCCGCCAGTGGTGATGGTGTTAAAGGTAGTGTACACCATTGTTTTTCTTTGTCGTGATTTCACAATATTGGCTGATTACGGTGTATAATATTCATTGCAACTTACATTCCACTCACTTGTTTCATGTTTGAGTCAACTGCTTTGTGAAAAATCGGGAAAGACAGCGCGGTCTTTTCAACGCTTAAATCGAAGGTCTTGTAGTTTATCTTGCGTAAAATCTATGGATTATAGGGCGTTCGTAGTACAAGCGAACATCATCCACGTGGCCAAAGTGGGAAACAAGCATGACAGGTTCTCATTCCCTGAAGAAAGGAACAGTTTTCAACGGCTAGGAGTAATCAGTGAATTTACCTTAGAGTATTGTGTCTCCTCGACAATGTAGCATTGCAGATTCGTGGACAAATTTCACCCAGGAACACAGCAGTCGACTCGTGTCCGTGACATCGAAACGAGTAGGCCTATATCATGATAATGCACGTGCGTGCACTTTCAGGTCAGTTCACACGCGTCGATGAAAGTCTAAAACTCCATTCATAGTTGAGTCATTAATAATTATACGTAAAAAAGAATTAACGATTAAGGATTAACGTGTGGAAATCGTACTTTTGTAGACGAAAATCATTATGCTCGGATACAGCCGCCATATTTGATCATACCATTATTATCGAGGGGTGGTTTTCCCGTAAAAAAACTTTCCTTAAATAAAATTCAACTTCACACTAACCCAGTTTATTTTATACTTTACGCCTAACACTCGGGTTTCAATAATTTCAGTTCACAGTGCTTTTGGTGAAATAATGTCTGTATACTTTTAGCTACTTTTAGGTTTATCCACTCATTAATGGAAATTCCCACAACATCTGCAAACACTACATAAGAAAATTGGCGCCTGTTAAAGGATGTGATATGCGAAGTGAAATTACCTCTATTATGATGGTCGGCTGACCATCGTAAAAAGAGAACAAAATTTTTGTTTTATCGAAAACTACAGCAT